CCCAGCTCCGTCATGTTGTCATGGAGGAGTGGAAGAGCATTCCAGTGGCAACCTGTGAGGCTCTGGTGAAATCCATGCCCAGGAGGATTAAGGCGGTTCTGCAAAATCATGGTGGCCACACAAAATATTGACACTTCAGGAACTTTCACTTTAGGGTGTACTCACTTTTGTTACCAGGGGTTTAGCTACTAATGGCTATATTTTGAGTTTTTTTGAGGGGAAAAATAAATTTACACTGTTATATAAGCTTTACACAGACTGCTTTTCATTGTGTCAAAGCGATGTTTCTTCAGTGTTGTTCAATTAAACATTATAATGACATCTCTGCAGAAATGTGAGGGGTGTACTCACTTTTGTGACATACTGTATGTTTTAATAAAGAAAGTTTTTTATGGTTGATCAGTGTTGTATTTAGTTAGGAGCGAATGAATGAATGAATAAACAAATGCTCCTTGTCATTAATTACTTCCTTTTATTGATCAAAATGACTTCACAGAGAAAGTTCACCTTATCGTCTATTTGCCTCATTGTTCTTCGTGCAGGTGGCTATGTATAAAGCACTGTTTAGAATCCATTTGGCCCACTTTAGAAGACTTTCGGGAGAATTCCTCTCTATCGGTAACGTTACGTAAAACCATGGAGGCAGTCAGGTTGCCGAAGTGTTGACATCAATCAGCTACTCGATCGGTCTAACACGATCACGTGTTGAACCGTGCCACCGCTCGCGAACCAAAATCTGATTACGCCCTGAAGAAACTATAGAAAATGAGATTTTTTGCAACAAACTTTTTGCTGTAAGTTTAACGTAACTCGTCTTACTAACTTCTTTTTTTGAAGTTAAGTTTGTGTAGTTCGCAGATGTCAGAGCGAGATAAAACGATAATAGGGTTCACCTAATGGCCTATAGGCTGCGAGGGACAATACCCATCAAGTTCTGAGCCAACCACAGTAAAGTGTGTACGTAGAATAACTACATAGCTGGAGCTTTAGCCTTTTACTATAACAACACAGCAGAAGAGAAAACAATGCTGTCCCAAACATGCGCAATGATGAGCAATCAAGTCATGGTCACAAAAAAAGATACAATGTATTATCAACTTAAGGTCAACTGTCTCTTGAAATGATACATTTTGTGAGTGCAAATGTCAAGTTTTTGTCTCTTATGTAACATACTGGAGTTTAGCTTCTTGTCAGTGCATGAGTTTCTTTCCTTAATTGTATTTCAGCTGACACAGTACAGTACAGCCAATTAATCCACACTGTATTTTGAAATAGTTTTGGTACCAAGTACTTCTGTCCACAGCTCGGTAGAAAAAATAAGCTAATGTTTTTTTTCCACCCTTGTATCATTTTACAAATTTTATTTTTGTTGAAAGTGTCTAGGTTTCAGTAGTAAATTTCAGAAGTACTTGGATTGTAATAATACTATTACACTGCCCTTTTGGAGTTACCATATGTCACCACATGACACTGTGTTACTGCATTTGATACCAACCCCCCGTGTTTAAATTAGTTTTAGTACTTCTTTTGATTGGCTTGTATTTTTGAACATTTTGCAGAAGTGTTCTCTTTACATTCACAACATATTTTTTTCACTATCCATGTTGTCAAAGGTGGTGTTGTTATATTTAAATAAGTTGATTATGGTAGTCCTTGGTGGAGATATTTCCTGAAGCTTTACCTTTTACTACATGCCATGGAAATTTACTACACACAGTACAGCTGCTTTTGTTGTGTAAAAGTAACCAGAGGAAAGGCAATTTCATGAGTAGTTGTTTCGATGCAGTGAAGATAAGGAAGCTGTTTTGCTACTGCCCACTGATTATCCTGTGTTTATGACCAGACCTCTTCTTCTTTTTCTTTCGGCTTTGTCCCTTTTTTTTTTTTCAGGGGTTGCCACAGCAGATCATTGATTTCCATCTCTCCCTGTTCTCTGTATCTTCTACTCTGACTCCAACTATCTGCATGTCCTCCCTCACTACATCCATATATCTCCTCTTTGGCCTTCCTCTCTTTCTCCTACCTGGTAGCTCCATCTCTAACATTCTTCTACCGATGTATCCACTGTCCCTCCTCTGCACATGTCCAAACCATCTCAATCTGGCTTCTCTAGCTTTTTCTCCAAACCTTCCTGTCTGTGTTGTCCCTCTAATGACCTCATTCCTGATCCTGTCCATTCTTGTCACTCCTAAAGAGAATCTTAGCATCTTTAACTCTGCCACCTCCAGCTCCGCCTCCTGTCTTCTGCCTATTGCTACTGTCTCTAAACCATACATCATGGCTGGTCTCACCACTGTCCTGTAAACCTTTCCCTTCACCTTAGCTGACACTCTTCTGTCACAGATCACTCCTGACACTTTTCTCCAGCTGTTCCATCCTGCCTGTACTCTATTCTTCACCTC